CAGATAGTTATGAAGCAAGAGATTGTGTCATAAATTTGGATTAACTGACTTGCTGATTATCGTGATTGTCTTTGTACGTATTCTGGGGTGCAAGGGTAAAATAGATCAGATAGTTATGAAGCAAGAGATTGTGTCATAAATTTGGATTAACTGACTTGCTGATTATCGTGATTGTCTTTGTACGTATTCTGGGGTGCAAGGGTAAAATAGATCAGATAGTTATGAAGCAAGAGATTGTGTCATAAATTTGGATTAACTGACTTGCTGATTATCGTGATTGTCTTTGTACGTATTCTGGGGTGCAAGGGTAAAATAGATCAGATAGTTATGAAGCAAGAGATTGCGTCATAAATTTGGTCATAAAATTAAGTTCCTTGCAATATATATAAAGTCAAAGGAGGGCTAGTTTGGTTAAACATATCATATCTATATTCTTTTGGAGCAGCATCTCCTTGAAAATAAGGGTGTAGTGAGTCAAACTGGTAAATAAAGAAGGGCACGCGCCCATCCTCCTGTAACTTATTTTGGCTTGTTCTCTATCTCCTATAGGAACGTAAAGGAAGTGGACTTTGATGTGGATCGCTTTATGAAAGACATGGAATCATTTGTGAGGCGTCAGGGCTCTGGAGACACTGGCAGTGATGCTGATATAGAAGAAGAATCATCATCAGATATGGAGTTTGGTGAGTCACATTTTTTATTTCTTTAAGTCGATCTTTTTAGTAACAATAGCCAAATGTTATTTATTAATTATATATGCAGATTGGAATTTTTCACTTATTTATAATATTGGTAGGTCTGTACCAACGAAAATTGCCTAGTTTTAGATGGGATATCTCTCAGCTTTTTCTTTCAATTTTTCCTACCATTGTTTTTTTTTGTGAGGGGAGGTGGGAGAGGGCAGAGGGATGTGAGACTTGGTCCCCCTTAGGCTGGGTATGGTTGAGGTAAGGTGGTAGGGCGCCGGATCATTTTTCTGTTTCGGTATGAGGTGAAGTGATAGTGGAGCTGACCCTCCATGACAACTTTTACCCGTCCAATTCTAATATGTCCGAATGTGGACAAAAAATCACGTTTATATAGGGAAGTCAACCAGGTAGTTTCTCTCCCTTGTCCTCCCTCCCTCTTCCTGGGGAGGAACTTAACATAGTATTGGTGCAAGTTCATCTTTTGAACTTCATTTTTCACCAAGTTTACAATCCCAAACTCCTTCCAGAANAAAAAAACCCCACCCCTACCCCAAGCAGAAAAAAATGCAATAGAAGAAGAAAAAATGACATTTCTTGGACATGCAGATGAATCTGAAGATGAGAATGATATGGCCGAGCCATCTGATGATGATGATGAGGAAGGTGCCGCTTTCATGCATTCATATTCTGATGCTCTGAATGAGGAACTTAAAGGCAGCACACTGAGTAATACATTTGTCCGTGCACATGAACAATCCGTTAAGAAAGATGAGGTTAGTCCACACTTCCAATTAAATCTATATTTATTTTCTGATCTTGCCTGGAGATCAAGTTTCAGCTGGTAGCAATTTTCCTGCTATGTTAAATTTACAGTTCATTTCTGTGCCCCAAAATCGTTTTAGCATTGACAAAAGTGTTTTATTTGGTAGATAATGGGTTCTCGTAAAGTCATTTAGCTTGTTGCTCAGGACATATACCCCCTATTCTGTAAATCAGAGACAGAAGACAGAAAAAGTGAAAATTGTCATTGTACATTGCATTTCTAGTTACAAATAATATTGTTAAGATTACTCATTGGACAAATATATGAAGCAGGGAACATCTAATGCTACAGAAAGCATGGAAGAGGAGTTCACTCCAGTAGATGTGGATTTCAATCTTGTAAAGAATTTCCTCGATTCATTTTCTTCTCAAGAAGGACTTCCTGGACCTGCTTCTAACTTGCTTGGACTCATGGGTTTACAGCTACCACCGGATGCTAGCAAAGGGAAATAAGCATATTTTGTGTCTGCAGCTTATTTCTCTACTTCCTTTCTATAATCTGTTTTTCTTTATGATTGCCATGGATTACTCCTGCAGGCTAAGCTGAAGTTAGAGATCGACCACATTCTAGTGTACTCGGGCATATTCTCATAAATGACAAGCGAAAGCAACACAACTCCAGGAGCCACCTTCTTGAAACGGAAGATTATCTATTGTGTCAATTGTTCTCTGCATCAGTATATGTTCCAATATGAATCGAGAACTTTTGTGGCAAGGGACGATATTTATGACAAACATATTAGAATTATTAGATACACATGAGAGAGATGGATATTAGAATTATTAGATGCCAGGGTCCTTTTGAGGCCAATAGGCATATGATGCGATTATGATGCAATTGTATGAGTTTGGAGTTGTGAGAGGTCTCCCCTTAAGGGGGAGTATGGTGTGTTCATTCTATCTATTTCATTTTCCCCTAGTTATTTTTAAGTCAGACTTGGGATTTTTGAAAAGAAGTAGATAATTGATTTGAGAACGAGAGCAGAGTTATTATGAAGCTATGCACTAGTTTATCTACTGTTATAGTTGGTATAATATTCAATCTGCAAATTGTTCATCTAGTGTATCATTTTGCGCATGACAACTTTATTTAGTTTAAAATAACTCTGTTTCAGATCATCGTTAATCAACTTCTGAGCTATGTTAAAAGTGCAGCTTTGCATGTGAACTCTTTTTGGTTTAATAACAAGTAGCACCTCTGATTTTCTTTGAGCATTCTTTAAACCTTTCTCATCTTTAATGACAAATGTTTACAAACACTACGTTCGTTCAAAGTCAATAGAAAAAAAAAAGAATTTGACTCCATTTTAGTTTTTTCTCTAGTGTAATGCTTTTATTTTATCAGCAATTTTTCATCCAATAGAGTAAAGATTTATAACCTCTAACTATATTGATCAAATTGTACACGCTGTTCGATCTCGTTTGGTTTTGTATTTTCTTAGAAATAGTTAAATAATAGTATGCTACTAAAAAGAGCAGGAAACAAATACTAATAGCCTATATGATCATCAAGAGTGGGTTTGGTGAGAATCCTCCACTTCCAATCATGAAGTGTGAGTTCGAGTTACCTCAAAAATAAAGTGGGGAGTTTTTGGAGGAGGGAACCGAGTTTCTATCGGATACAATCTCTCTACCTCAGGGTAGGGGTAAGGTCTTTATTGTTGTTGTTAATCAATTTTATTTTATTTTTATTTACCAAAAGTATTTTTTTTCCCGAAGTTAAGGTGTGGTCAAGCTTTTAGAAGAAGAAAAAAATATTTTTAAGTAGAATTAGAAGGAAGCAGTTTTTGAGAAGTAAAACAAGTTGGAGGAAAAGCCCAAAACCATACATGATCTTTGGCTTTAGATTCAAAGTCATACATTTTAGTCATAACACTGAAAAAAGCCCAAAAACATACATTATCTTTGGCTTTAGACTCAAAGTCATACATATTCTTCCACATGGAGCACTAATAGTCCATTTACTTTAACAAAGTGGTGCACTTTTAGTCATAACACTAAACACATTTTATTTTTTAACAGAAATCTAAGATCTGACAAAATATATGTTCCCTTTATTTTCTTGTTTACCGAAAGAAATAAAGATGACAGATTTATCTAGATAGCAAATAGCAAATATACATAGAATTTATTTACTATTTATCTATTTACTATACGTAACATATACATTTTACTAAGAAATGTTACACACCGTTAATTTTTATTTGCAATGATTTTTATTTAGATAACCTCAAATGGTATCTAGATTTTTTATTATATACATAATATTTACTATACGTTGACATAAAATAAATATACGTAAAATCATTGCTGAGAGTAAAATAAATTTTATTACTAAAATAATATACGTAATATATATTTATTAGATTTTTTTATTTTGTGGGAGTCAGCGTATAGTAAACATAATATTTATTTTTATTTTATGTATATTTACTATACGCTGACTCCCATAAAATAAAAAAATCTAATAAATATATATTACGTATATTTATTTTAGTAATAAAATTTATTTTATTCTCAGCAATGATTTTACGTATATTTATTTTATGTCAACGTATAATAAATATTATGTATATAACAAAAAATCTAGATACCATTTGAGGTTATCTAGATAAAAATTATTGCAAATAAAAATTAACGGTGTTTAACATTTTTTAGTAAAATATATATTTTACGTATAGTAAATAAATTCTATGTATATTTACTATTTGCTATCTAGATAAATCTGTCATCTTTATTTCTTTCGGTAAAAAAGAAAATAAAGGGAACAAATATTTTGTCAGATCTTAGATTTCTGTTAAAAAATAAAATGTGTTTAGTGTTATAACTAAAAGTGCACCACTTTGTTAAAGTAAATGGACTATTAGTGCTCCATGTGGAAGAATATGTATGACTTTGAGTCTAAAGCCAAAGATAATGTATGTTTTTGGGCTTTTTTCAGTGTTATGACTAAAGGTGCACCACTTTGTTGAAGTAAATGTACTATTAATGCTCCATGTGAAAGAATATGTATGACTTTGATTCTAAAGCCAAAGAAGATGTATTGTTTTGGTCTTTTCCTCAAACAAGTTGTTTCTTCCCAAAAGAACTTTTTTGAAAAATATATTTAAAATATTTTTTAAAAGTTTGGGCAAATATTAATTGCTATTCAAATGTGTTTTTCAAATTAATCAACCAAATACAAATTATTTCTCATCAAATTTATTTTTTTTAAAAGCACATTTTAAAATAAGCTAATTTTAAAAGCTTGGCCAAACATACAAGTGTCTACTTCAAATCCCAACAGAAAACAATTATGTTGGATGATTTTCTTTCTCATTTGTTTAAATTTTGTTGTAGATAATTGATGAAATTCTTCAAGCACAAATAATTGAGATAAGCATTGAAGACCGATAATAATTAAAAAATAAGCAAATTTTAGAAAGAATACTAGTATATCTATATTGTTTAGATATATCAATAAAAATCAATTGCTTTTATTGTTTAGAAAGTTTATTATGACTTTGACTGAGCACATCCACCAATCAATACTACTAGCAAAGGAGCAAAAGCAACTCACAAGACTTTGAAGACTGATCATACAAAAATAAGCAATTTTTTATTATTATTTACAGTGATGGGAACGGTGGCGAAAGAGGCGGCGATTGATTTACTGAAAAATGAGATTCCGGTGGAGGAAGACGAGCCTCTGTTTATCTCCGGCGACGTCAACACCGGTCTCGTACTCGTGGACATCGTTAATGGCTTCTGCACTGTCGGCGCTGGCAATTTGGTAATTTTTGTATACATGCATATACTTTTCTGTCTTTATGAGGAAATGGACAGCAAAAAAAACAAGTGAAATTGAGAAGGATCTGTATATTCCATCTGTCCTGTTCTATTTGGATCAATTTTCATTGTATATGTAGAGTAGTTTTTTTTAAAAAAAAATAAAAAAAGTGCACATTTTACGGTAGTACAGAACTACTTTAAAAATCATAGCAAGAAAAATGCATGATTTTGATTTACAATTTATGATACACACAATCACTATAAATAGCAAAAACTGGTTCGGACAAATGAGGGTGTTAGAGATAGGTTTGAATATATATATATATATATATATATATATATATCAAAGCAGGGAATGGAATTTTAAATTGGACTATGGGAGAACTATACTTAGAGTATGCATAGCCGTTGTTTGATAATTTGTTCCTGGAAGTTGAGAGACTTTTTTCTTTTTAGGGAAAGTAACGGGTTGTTGCTTCTGGATATTAGACATACAACATCTACAAGTAGATTCTTTTTAATGCATAAGTTTTGTTTGCACCTATTTAAATGCGTGTTAGGCATGGCTCATGTAAAGCTAGGAACTTTTTAGCTCAAAGACTGGACAGGTTTACATGTCGTGATGAAATTGGTTAGAGATGAACCTATTACGAGATTTCTGGATTAATTGAGCTGGAAATTAATCTGGTCTACTGTCATTTCTATATAGGATTATCTCTTACTCAGTGATAGACGGTGCTTGGAAAATCATCTTATTTTTTTTCCTTAAATTACTATACTTTCTTGGGGTGCGGAATACGCAGATAAGAGAATCTTGGGTGATAATCGATAAAGCTTAAAGGTTTATATAGGAGCTCTACTAGGGAGCTCCCACTCAATCTTTTTCATCTTCTTTGATTTGTTTCTTCTCTATATCTTTCTCTCTCTTGCTATTCATATGTGGTTCCAACGTTTGTTTTTTGATCATTTTGGTGATTGTAGTTGGTAAATCGCAATTTGGACTAAGAACTGAGAAATTGATGTGATCCTTATTCCTCTGATTATTCTTTTTAGTTATTGATTATGATTTTGTGCCATTTGCTCTGTTATAGGCTCCAGTGGCACCCGATAAACAAATTTCAGCAATGGTTGATGAGTCGGTTAAACTTGCAAAAATGTTTTGTGAGAAGAAATGGCCTATTTATGCTCTTCTTGATTCTCATCATCCTGATGTGCCTGAGCCACCTCATCCTCCTCATTGTATCGCTGGAACAGATGAATCTAAGTTGGTTCCTGGTTAGTCTTCCCTTCATGTTTTCTCCTTTCAGTCTAAAAGTGATGTGTTTTCAATAAGGTCCATTTATTGTCATATGCAGCTCTGCAATGGTTGGAAAGTGAACCAAATGTGACACTGCGATGCAAGGATTGCATTGATGGGTTTCTTGGTTCGATTGAGAAGGATGGATCTAATGTCTTCGTAGATTGGGTGAAAGCTAATGAGATTAAAGCTGTAAGTATCACCATATCTCATGAATTAATCAAATTCTGTTTCAATTCCATTTTACCGTAAATTTGGTGTTGCAACAAACACTGATTGGCCACTAATGTTGGGAGTATGAATTTGTTGGTTTAGATATTGGTTGTAGGGATATGCACGGACATGTGCGTGCTTGATTTTGTGTGTTCTGCCTTATCTGCAAGGAACCGTGGATTTCTCTCCCCCCTGGAAGATGTGATTGTATATTCCCGTGGCTGTGCTACTTTTGATCTTCCACTGCAGATTGCTAACATAAAAGGAGCCTTACCTCATCCACAAGTAAGCTAACTATACTCCTTTGTTGATTTTTAGTGTATCCTACGATATTCCTAAGAAATTAGTGAACAATGACGCAAAGGAGATAAATGTGATATTTGACGGATGATGGGCATTCTCCGCATTAGAAATTGAGAATACACAGATTTTGTTTGGTGTTTGTCGCTGTGTCTTTTGCAGAAATGCTCTGCACAAGTTATCTATAAGATTTACACTTTCCCAATACAAGGTTATTTTAAGACTTTTTTTTAACATTATTTTTTTTTTTTTTCCTAAGAGGAACTGCAATAAGTTGTTTCCCTTTCATGCATTTTAGCCACCAAAGATTTACATATATATTTTTTCATGGAGCAATTTCTATTGACAGATTCACTTTTCTCATCATTTGCTGTGATAGGAATTGATGCATCATATAGGCCTTTACATGGCCAAAGGAAGAGGAGCAAAAGTAGTTTCAGAGATCTCCATTGATACAACTGCAAGAGAGACATAATTCTAAACATGAAACTTGGATCCAGATTTTCGGAGTTCAGAAGGAAACTGCTACAGCTGTTGCGACTTTACAAAAGACTTCTTAGCTTCCTTAATCTATAGAAAGATAAATTTGTCAATAGGCAACTTTATGTTGTTCAGTGAGATGTGCAGCCAAACTTTCTTGTTCCGAAGCTACTATATTCACCATATTGTATTAGTTCTCCCTAGATTAACTGTCAATGCCAATTTGACTAGAATATTTTCAGCTTATTATATCAACTACTAGCTGAATAAGAGTACACCTTGTTAAATAAGCGCTTACAGATTGACTAGATTTGGTGTTGTTATGAAGGGCTACTGAAAAGTAGTATCAGCAAATGAAGAATGGTACTGTTATATAAATTCTCTGTTTACACTAACTTACACATCAAGGCAATACATACAATCCCCAAAATCTTCTCACTTGGAGCAAAAAAAAAAAAAAAGAAAAAAAATGTATAACCAACATTCCTTGTCTGTCCAGATAAATGTAAAAATACCTGGAAAAGAATGAGAACAAGGGGAAAAAACCAAAAAAAGAGAAAAGGGAGAAGAAAACAAGATCAAGATAAATACATCTATAAAGGTACTCCACCTTTCAGGACCTGGTATTTCCTATTATGATGAAAAAACGAACGCTTGCTCTTCTTTGCTTTGGTTCCAAAGATGAACGCTCGCAAAGGAATCCTTGACCTACTTGCTGAGTTTGTCAATTGTGGTTGACTTCCACCAACATCAAACTCTTGATCCAGTTTTCTCAATGTCTTCTCAACATCTACTTGAAGTGTAGTTACATGCTCTACACCAGCTTCCAGTTCCTCTCTTACCTTGTTGTTTTCTTGTTTCATGTTCAAAACTTCACCTTGGAATTTTGCAGCTTGATGGCTACTGAATCTGATTTCTTCTTCTTCAACTCCCTCCTTTAATGCTTTTGTAATTTCCTCCTGAATGCTGCATAAAGACGAGAACCTACGTTTCAGTTCATCTTTTAGGGACAAGCTTTGTTCTAACCACACTGTTAGCTCATTCTGAATCTCCCTTAGGTGTTTATATATGGGCCTGATTTCTGATTTCATGTCTGTTTTAGAGCTGCCCTCTTTCGCCTCCTTGTCTCTGAGTGTTGATATTTCGCCCTGCAAATCTTGGACTGTGGTCTTGAACTTTTGAATCTGATGAAATGCTGAGCTAAATCTTAGCCAGAAATCCAAGTTTTCGTCTAGTAATGCATCAATGCCCATCCGGAGTTTTTCTTCTACTGGTGAGAGGGATGAACGTTGATCAATTAAAATGATCTTGACATCATGTTCATCCTTGTCTTCCCTCGAGTCCTCAGGTTTCAAGCTTCGATCATCAGAAGGATTGTTATCTTGCTGTCTTTCTTCCTTCGTCTTTGGACTTTCAGAAGCATTTCCTTGCACAAGGCTCAACTTCAGACGCAGACTTTCTATCTCTTCATCCTTCTTTGCAATAGCAGTTTTAAGCTCTCTTATTTGCAATGTGACTTCAAATTCAGTGTCCCTTTCTTTCTTCTCCATGTCAATCAGCTTCCTCTTTAATTCCTTATAATTCCTGAGAATTGTTGTATATTCTGTTAAGAGGATCTTCTCTTTATCCTCCAAACCACTCAACAGCATTTGCTGCCATGTAAGATCATCGTCTTTCTCCTCGTCTTCATGTGGTTTAGTCTCATCATTAACCCGACTTCCAGACTGAGCTGAGACTTCCTCTTTACCTTTTTCTGCTGGCGTTGGCTCCAGAAGTTTGTCATGTTTAGTAGTGGTTTTAGTATCTTCCTGTACTTCTTTATCGCTAACTACTGTACTAGGACCTTGTTCTTTCTCAACTTCACTTGCACTAACATGATCTTTTTTCTTTTCTGGCTCTTTTTGTGACCTGATATCAGCAACAGCCTCCTCTTCATCTTGAGATGAGTCGCTCTCATCAACCTCTTCATCTGGTTTCACACTAGTCAATTTAAAAGATAAGTGGCCAAGACTAGAACGTGCTTCAGCAAAGTGAGTCTGAAGGCTATTGTTTTGATTTTCGACATCTTTGTTTAGATCCTGAATTCCCTTCAACTTTTCCTCTATTGCAGTTACTCTAACATTCAGATTGTGTGTATCCTCTGTTAAAGCTGCTGCCTTATCATCTTCCAAAATCTGCACTTGTGTGTGGAGTCCACCAGCTTCTGTTCTTAATCTTTCAATTAGAACAGTTTGAGCTGAAACTGCTGTTTCTAGGCTGACCACCTTATTCACAAGCTCATCAATTTTCTCTGCCAATTGTGTCACTGTTAGAGATGACATAGAGCTCGCGTCAAATTGCTCGTTGATCTTGCCATGCAATGACTCTATTTGCTCGCCAACTGCTTCTTGGCTTGAGCTTTGTGATTCATCTGCAGCTAAAGCAGCTGATTCATCATTTTCATCAGGTTTTGCTTCATCGACTGGATCACCCAAATACTTTTGCCTGAAAGATTTCAGTTTCTTACGAGCTTCTTCAATCTTCTTGAACTCCTCTCTTGCTTCTTTGGTCGATTGTTCTTGTTTCTCCTGGAGCTGAGCCAATGTTTCTTGACAAGATTTCAGTGCAGCTTCAGCCATTAAAGTCCGAGCCTCATCATCCTCAATAACCCGAGCCTCACCAAATTCATCCTCCAAACTGCAAATCTTGTGATGCTTTTCCACAATCTGGTTTTCGATTTCCATAGTCTTAGCAATCCCACTTTGGTAAGAGCTTTTAACAAACTCTTTCATAGTTTGCAAAGACAGTATATCTCTCTGAAGCTTATCGATCTCTTCAAGCGCTTCATCTTTTGTCAAACCAGATTTTGGAGCATCTTTATTTGAATCTTTTGCTTTATTAGATGGTTTCTTGCCTTGAAATTGCTTTGTACCTGTTTTCAGCAGACCTTTCAAATCTTTAACAGGTGCCTTTGGAGGAACTTTTGGAATATTTGCACCACTTGTTGGAGTTTGAGGGAAATTCTTTGGCATTCTTGGGATACCATATTCATCTTCTTCATCCATTGCTAGTTGAATTTGTTCTGGAAAAAGAGTAGCAATGGTGTTGTTAGCACTCTGCAACTCTTTTGACAACTTGTCATATCGTTCAGCCAATGCTCGATAGGCACGATAAGATTCTTCGACAAAGTTTATTAGCTCTGGCCTTTTCTTGTAATACATTTCTGCTCTTTTTGCAAATGAATCTCCATCTTCTTCAATGAGCTTAATCACATCTTCCACCTTCTCTTCCATATCTGCAATACCATAAGTATTACAATTAGAATTTTTGATTTCCACACTAAACAACTTTGAGAATTACACTAGAAGAGTGCATAGAAAGAAAGTGGCATATTCTTGGTTAAAAAGGGCACCCCGGTGCACAAAGCATCCCGCGTTCACGCAATGTCGGGGGAAGGACTGTTATTCCCGTCAATATTGCTGTATTTATAAATAATAATTCTGCAAAATATAAGTTAGCGTAATGAAACAGTAATTAATTCGAGCCCACTGAATTTACAGTGTTTCCTTAAGGAATTTAATCCCCTCCTAGTATCCAAGGTAATGGATTATTTCCTCCCAGGATAGAACGAATCACACACTGGTGTAGCGGTACTTCAAACCCCAGTGTTTCAGCGAACACAAAGTTCGGTAGCAAATCACACTTACAGTTGCTTTGTTTGAAGTTAAAACAACAACAAATAAATTTGGTCCAAAAAATTAATCAATCGATCGATCATTTGACCAAATCCGAAGCCGAGCCGAGCGACGACGACGACGGCGCGAGGCTTGCTTTCTTCTTAACTCTTTAAGAGCTACAAGAAGAGCAATTATATATATACCCACCAAAAATCTCTTCTTCTTCCAATATGGGACAATGTCTCATTGTCAAGAGAGTAAAACCTAGAATTTTACTCAAAAATTTCATTTTCACTCCATTTCCCATTCACCCTCATTTTAAGACTATTTCATCTTAAAAAATAAAACCTCAACAAGGACCGCACCCCAAAGGGGTTTGATGTAGGCAGTCTACCCTGATGCAAGCATCAGTGATTGATTTCACCGCTCTAACCCGTGATCTATGGATCACACGGAAACAACTCGACCCGTTGCTCCAAGGCTTCCCTTTTGGCATATTCTTGATTACATCCTCTGTATTTCTATCTTGTTCTGAATAAGATTGTGCAGTACATATATTTCAAGAAAATCTTTGATAATATTTTGTAATTACTTTGAAACTGAATAAAGATTGAGAGAAATGCAATACAATGTAAAACAATAAGAAAATGAAAGAACTTGAAGCTTTTGACAAAAAAGAATGCAGATTTGCCAGCAAAATTTTAGGATCAAAATTTCCATTACAGATGCATGCATTATACCACACCCTTTTGTTCATCTAACATGTAACAACAACAGATCTCATTCACATTTGAATATATTATCATTCTTTCCCTATTCTTTCCTTTTTTTCCTCCTCCTCAACAACCCAAAATCTACATTTTCATCAAGAATCCAAACCCCATCTGTAAAGTAGAGAGGTGAACCCATTATCCACTAAGTATCAAAGTTGTAATTAACTGATTTCTCGGTTATCAAAAAAAGAAAAAGAGATATCATAATCCCGAAAGGGAGTCTTAGAGCAACAGTAAAGTTGTCTCAGTGTGACCCATAGGTCACGGGTTTGAGTCGTGTAATAAGTCACTATACTTGCATTAGGGTACCCTACATCACACTCCTTGGGGTGCGGCCCTTTCCGTAACTTGCAAAAATACAGAATGCTTTGTACACCGCCTGCCCTTTAGAAATCATAACCCCATTTGACTTTTGATGTTAAAAAAACATACCTTGAAGGCTTTGTTCAAGCCATTTAGATTGCTTAGTCCTAATATGGCTAGCAGCCCACCATGAATAAGCATTAGTTGCTGCTCTCTGTAACATCTTGAACCAATTCTTGATCTTTCTTCTACTTCTTCAAAACAATCAAAAAACACAAATCAAATATGAAACTCTTCCTCTTCTTTTCCTCACAAGAACAAAGAATATATGTTTTAGGAAAGAGAAAGAGTTTCAAAACAGGAGAAGTTTTCTCGTTTTAAGAAAAGTTATTGAATAATCATAGGAAATGGAATCATAGTTGAAAGGGACAACAAACTATGATGTCTTTTTTTTCTTCTCTTGTTTGCCTTTAATGTCTAATTATGGTGTTTATTGGTTGAGAGCTCCTTACGCACCAAAATAAATGTTGCACCCTTCTCTATCCTTAATAATTTAGCTTTTTTCACAAATTTTCTCTTTTTTGGGACATAGCATTTTTAGTCCCTACATTATTGCTAAATTTAGATTTTGGTCCTTGTGAGATCTGACTTGGCATATTTAACCTTCAATTAACAAAAATGTGTATATTTGGTCCATTTGTGTAGAAAATATGTTATATTTAGACTATTTTTAGAACTACATTACCCTCAAATATTGAGTAACAGTACAAACTTAATATTACACACGGGCAATTAAATAGTGTAACGGCTGATAATTCATTAATCTTGTGATTACTCGCAAGCATAAGGATTAAAAGTGTAACACTTCAATCAATTGAAGATTCAATGTGCTTAGCCAGATATTACAAGGATTATATCATAATTTGCCAATAATCGAGGGACCAAAGTTGCTATTAATTTTTTTGTTTGGCAAAACCAAAGCCAAAGCTATTGACAGCCAATTAACAAATTAGACTATTGTGAACGTGGCATCCACTGGCCTCTTCAACAGCTTGTCACATTCTCATACAGAAGAAAGAATTAGAAAACCAATAAACAAAAGAAGAAAGAAAATATCTTTCTTCTTGCCCTAAAGTTTCTTTTTTCTTTGTGTACATTGGAAAAGACTTAAAGTTTTCTTCTTTAACTAACTTTTGAATATTTCTGCGTTTTCATGTAGTACAAATAGCAGCTTTCGGCCTGTCATTAACTAACTTTCGGTCTAGATATTTAAAAAGATTTTGCAGTAATGTCCTGAAATATATCTTTTGTGATAGATTACCAGGCGAGTCAGGATTTCAAGTTTATGGGTTCGGATATCTAATCGTTTTAAGTTACTGAGTTTTAAATTAGTAATTTATAAATATTCAATAGGTTTTTTTAAGACAAATATAATATTCGAATCAGAGCTACTGATTCAGCCAAACCCGCTTCCGACACTCTAACTTTGCCCTTCCCCTTGTAGGGGCAATTTTACGGATGGTCACTCGGATTTTACTTTATTGCATTAGAGTTGCTAAAACTATATTCTAATGAAACTTAATTTTGTTAGATTATAATGTCTGAACCAGTTTACGCGCACCTTAATTAATTTCAAGACTTTCTTCTTCTTTTGTGTGTGAGAAAAAAATAATAAGTGGAATTGGTCTTCTTGCTTATCAAAATAATCATTAAAAACGAGGGCCATGATTTCATGATGACAATTACATCGAATAAATTATTCGTATGAACAAATAATTTAGGTACAACTCATCATGATATTAGATATTTAATTGTTGGACAAAAGATTTCCAAGAATATTCAAAAAATCCTCAAAATAAATTAGTAGTAATATTTACAATTAAGCGTGTAAAGTATCTAGTGTTTAGACATAAACGCATAGTACGCTTTACTTTCGAACATTGAAAAAGAAAGAAGTTTCATAGAAGGAAAAGGAATATACCAAAGGAACTTATGTACTCTAGCTTTGCTGTTTTGTTTTCTTTTTCCTCTTTCTTTCTTTAATCATACACCCACCCTCCTACCCACCCTACCCTTATATAACATGATTACCTGTATTAACATAGATTCTTTTCTGTTACCCGTATATGATAAATGAGATCTCGAATAAGTGTTTACATAATTTTTTTTGGTCCGAAATAATAATTGATAATGTTTACCCGAAAAATTGGATAACGTTAAATTTATATATGGTTCTAAGGGTATATAAATTCCTTTGATACAAAATAACAATACAGGTATTTTTGCTATAAAATGGGAATGATGGACGGGAAGACCGAAATGAATTAGAAAAACAAGCACAATGAAATCTTAATGTATCTTGGAGGACTTGCCTCTATTGCAGTCTATCCCCCTTTTTATAGTAGAGGGTCACTGCTTTATCTATAACAATATAATAAAATAATACATATAGTGGAAGACCCATGATGGTTTGTCTCTTCCTTGATTCTCGCCAAGATTCTCTCCCTCGGTGCGGTTGTAACGGCTCTTGTCTGCGAGCTTGGCACTGGCTCGAGCTCGATGTTAGATCGAACCCCCAGTCTTGGTTCGAGCTCGGTTCTGCCTTGGGTCATCGATATTCGGGGGCTGTGTCGATCGGTGTTGCCCCGTAGTTCGATTCGGACACGGGCCCGATAATGATATCGAGTTTTGCCGTTGATTGGTCTTATAGCTCGAAGCTCGACGTCCCTACTTCGGGATTCGTCCGAGCTTGTCATGTGGATACCCTTCGATCGAAACGTCATTGTCTCGGCCGATCTTTATGACTGAGAATCGGTTTTGACCGTAAACAGATAGTCCCATCGTTTCTCGGAAAGGATGTGGCGAGGAACAATATGATTTCCTTGCGGCTCGATCAAATTTATGCTGACGTTTCTATCGAACCCGATCTTGACGTATGTGATAGCTGTCACATCGGCTCGGTTTTACCGAAGTATTTAATATGTGTCAGACGGTGGTCGGCCACCGCTGATACCGAACCGTCATGCCTTAGTCTATAAATAGTCTTTCTATACAACCTTTACCACTTTTGCGCCTTCTCTTCTTCCAAACTTTCTTATTTATCCTCTCTATTTCGCTGCTACGGGGCCGGCCATACCAGAATTTTGGTGTTGTCTATTTCTTTACCTTCCTTTGCACTCTTCCCTTTCATATCAATGGCGAAAACTTCCAAAACCGTACCTAAGAAGGAGAAAGCTTCTTCCTCACGGTCGTATGATGATAAGGCGCCGGTGGAGCCGTCAGTTCATGACTATGTTCCTGGACCGTGCACTTTGAAGACCGATTTTAAGGTGGAGAATCCTTCCTCCGTTCCGGGTCGATGTGAACATGTATCGATGTATACGTGCTATATAACGGAGGATCACCTCGAGGCCGTTAGAAAAGACTGCAACTGGGGTTCCGAGGTCGTGTTGCAAATTCCATCTTCCGATGAGAGTGTTACCACTCACGTGGAGGGGGTTTTAAGTGTTTATACTTATCCCTTTACACTGGGACCCGTCAACCCGGTGATTATTCATTTCTGCAAAAGGTATCAAGTCACCCTTGGCCAAATTCATCCCTCTTTATGGCGTATAGTGATCTTATTGCGCTTCTTCTCTATCAAAGCCGGGGGTTGGATTTTTCTCTGAACCACCTCATACGACTGTATCGGCCTCAGATCTTTCGAGGACTAATCAGACTTCATCGTCGGGCATCGAAGGCTTTGATGTC